CTCCATGGTTTAAAGAAAATAAAACAAAAATGTTACCTGTGCGCTATCTTGATCCAAGTACAGTCTCCTGTCTCATCAGAGACTTAAGCAGGTGTGTTGTGTATTATCATGATTGAATTGTGTGTTGTGTGGCAGTGGGAACTAGTATGAGTGATGCATTAACTTTGCGTATTTGGCTGTGTGCTGATTGGACACTATAAATAAAGTTGTCATGGTGTATTGCTTTGCCATAATAAGATGCATTGATCATCTACTCCATTCATATCAAAATTTATATTATCCTAATGACTTTAAAGGGACACTACAGTCACCAGAACAACTATAGCTTAATGCAGGCAACTATAGCTTAATGCAGGCTTTTTAATGTATAAACTGTATTTGAAGAGCAGTGTTTACATTGCTGCCTGTGGACACCTCCAGTGACGGTCACTCAGATGGCCACTAGAGGTGCTTTCTGGGTCAGTGCTGCACAGTGTGGCAATCATTTAGAAGTATGTGTCAGATATGTATCAGTTATAATATATGATAATATCAGTATGATATTGGCAAGTTCTCAAAGAATTGCCTTAGTAAGACCTTATCTTGATGGTTTATGTTCACATCGAACTGGAAAATATTAAAATTAATTAATTTATTGAAGACATTCAAGTTTTTTGTTACGAGCCAAAGTTTGCCAAGTTGAGTTTGCTGTAATACAGCGGGCCCTGAGAAGAAGCAAGCAGGAGTTAGCTATGATGTCAGGACCACAACTCATCTGTTCCCATAGTAAAACGCCAGATAAATGGGAGTTCCTGGCTTGTCTGCAACTTTCCAACCCCTAGGTGAAGGTTCGACTTCTGCAGCCTTATTGATATCCTTTTATATTCAGGACAGGTATGATGGAATATTCCATACCAAAATACCTTAAAAATACAGAGTGAGTGTTTTCAGTTCTTGGCATTAAACTGGCATATAACACCTTTGGTAACTGTGTTCCTAAAGCAATAGCATGATTGATGCTGAACACTGCTCCTTCATGCTAGTTACACCACCGATACTGTGCTTACCTTTCAAAATAGGAATTGCTAGGGGAGTATTTGGAAGCTGATAGCCCAGATGTGGGACTCCTTATTTTTTTGACAATCTTTATTTTATGACTTATGAAGACAGTCACAAGTATACCAGGTACATAGCATATGCACTAACTAACTACCATGATATGGACATCAGAAGACATAAATGTTGTAAAGCATACACAAAACCTCCACCCAACCCTTCCATACCTCAAAAACTGTGTGGCGAAAAAAGCGGCTGAGAGTAACAGTACATTGTGTATTAGAACAATTCCAGACAGATTGTTACAATGTAGAATATCGGAAACCAATGGGTTTTGCTGTATGGATTGGGTTACTGCCCAATGTTTCTATAACAAAAAAGTTTGTCAAAGAAGGAGTAGAGGAAAAAGGGTGAGGGGGGAGGAGAAGGTCCTCCATTTGGAACTCTTTAACCCCGACTCTCCACAGGTAGATCATATTAGTGTGTTTTTTTCATTTTTACTCAATGCAGAACACTAGCATAATGCTTATGAAGGCAACTAAGATGAGAGGGGAGAGCCCATGGAACTTTTTGAAGGTGGTGTTGTACCTCCTATTTGTTATTTGATATATCCCCACCCATCTGTTAGCGTGTGACTTCCACCCAGGTTTTTTTGGAACCTTGCACCACCACTTGCTCTCAGATTACAGCTTTTTCAAGTGTATTCCATGATTCTAGAGGCAGCTAATTATATGCTTTTCTGGAGTCCAAGATTGTTGGTTGTAGTTTTCACTCTGTTCACGTTTTGGACATCGGTGCAATTTGGATCAGTTTTAGTCCTCAGAACTTGCAAGGTTTGGTCTATTTGGAACCTAATTCATTTGGTAATTCTGCAAGGCACTAAATATATTCTTACATAACACTATCCTTTTTATACCTACTGTAATTAGTCCACATTACTATTACAAACATTTACATCAGTGTTTAAATAATAGCAACTATTGATACAATGCGAAATAAACATGGCTACATGAAAATAATCCATTCTCTTGCCAACAACTCTGTTTTTGGAGCATTATTCTACAACTTTTTGTTGGTTGCCATGGGGATATCGCTACTTTTAGAGTTTCTCCTATTTTCCTGGTAGAGACACCTTTACAAAAGGCCCAAGTTTTATATTATGGCTTTTGAATTTTTTAACATTGTTACAAAGCACAACCCCCTAAAGTAATGTTTTTCATTGGTACCGACACAATTTGTCACCTAATTATGTAAAAATAAGGTTACGTAAATGTGATTTGATGTTGGCCAAAGTCTGACTCAGAAACAAAATGCTGGTTTACAAGATGCCTCTCAGTGAGGATCAAGTTTCTATCTAGTTGCCGAACGGTCATGCTACTTTCATTGGAAAAGCCCCAGGAAAAGAGGAATGAACTAATGCACATATCGAAAGTATTTTAATTTGACAGTATGTGGCACGTGAATACAGATTAGAAACTCTGAGGTCCAAGGAGCAACTATTACTCTTAGTCAAAGTTAGTACAACGTTGCCATTGGATTGCTTACTTATTATAGCTTCAAGATTCCATTAGCCAACATGTTACTGGCAAAAGAGTCTGAAAGTTGAGTTCTAAAAACAACAAAATGTTCAGAATGTGGAGCAAAGGATTCTGGGAGCTTATTTAGCAACAAACAAGCCATACAATTTGTGCATAGAGTTTCTTCGATGTGTTCCGTAAAAGTATTGCTCCGCACATAGTGCTCCACAGTTGAGTTGATGAGAGACATATTGTGTATGCTGCAAAGAGTTATGTTAGGTCTTTGCTACATAGTGAAAGGCATGTGGTGGGCTACTAAAATTCAGAAATTATTGGGGGGATACTTTATCTATAAGGAGCATGGAGTTATCTGCTTTAAAGTGGAAATTGATTTGCTGCAAAAATAATAAGATGCCACCAAACTTTACAACTTTTCATAAATTAACAATACTGGAAAAAAGAACTAGAAGGGTTAATTTGCTTCAACCATCCTAACTACTACAGCTTGCTGTAGTGGTGATAAAGCCAGGAACACCTTGGCGCCGTTCCCTGGTGATTGAGAAACCATTTTTCAATGGTTTTCCCTTTTACCTGTGTTCCCACTGGATGTCCGGTCTCCTGTCAAGCTGGCTTACGACATTCAGTTTCTGCAGCGCTACAGAAGTCAAATGCTGATACCACCGGCAATTCACTGCCTGAGAACAGCAGCTGACCACACTCAGCCAATGAATGCCCCTCTGTGCATAGATATTCACATTAGCCATCCTTGCTCTGGGCTGCCAATTGATGCCCCAATGAGCAATGACACCTCTGGCAGCAAAAGGCTTAAACGTAGTAGTTGTAGCATTTCATAATGATTTTAGGCACAATAACTACTTTAAATTCATGAAGTGACCATGATGCTTAGAGTAACCCCTAACATAAGCCAAGTTTGAATTGACCAAATCAACTATGAGTAAAAATGCAAAGTGTTTGACAAACATACCAATATGATGTATGTATTGAGTGCAGTCACTGCCTTTTTTTTTGAAAAACCAATTTCCTGCTGTTCATTCTCATTTGATGTTTGTGGTATTCAGTAGAGCTATAGCATGCTTTCATAGCATTGTCCCCTAGTCAGGCCAGTATTTTAACCATCGCTGGAGGAAAATACTCTTCTAATGAGTCTCATTAAAAAAACATGAAAACCACCAAGGGTAAACAGAACATGGTTAAAATTAAGTGAAACAATGGTGTTTTATAGTCAGAATGTGAATCTACTCAAATCTTAATGATATCTCTTCTTCTAAGACCTTAGAAAGACATTTATCCCACAAAAATCTAGCCATACACACTGACACTGGAGTAGAAAAAACATGTCACTGTCGTTATGCTACGGGTGAAATGGACTTAATACACAATATACCCTGAGCTTCTTTTTAAGATAATAATAGGTAACTGCACTTGATTCGTAGCACAATCATAATTATTTTAATAAATAATAAGAATATTGGTATGATCCGCTGTCAAGCTTTACATTAGTGCAGTTCAAAGCACAGATAAGTCAACCACACTCCAATTCATTGTCTTTCATTGCGTTGCTCCAGGCGGTAACAGGCATTATCCTGAAGACTTTTATTTTATTTTTTCAGACCGAAATACTTTTTACCTGCACAGTCTCATGAAAATGCTTGTCATATTCCTTTTGTTATTCATATGCATAGATTGCACCTAGTAACCAGGCTATGACAATATTCACTAAACTGAGAGTTGGTGAGAACTGACAATGGATTTGCAATGTAAAAATAAAATGCTTAAAGGAACTATATGGGCACCATAAGAACTTCAGCAAAATGAAGTTGTTATGATGCCAAGAGGTTACTGGTGCTTTTTTACCCGAATGGGGTTAAACTGATCACGAACCATAAAGGTTCCTCTGCTGTGCCAGATCTCCCTGTCCCAGCAGCATCTGGTTTCTCCAATTCAGTGTGAGGAACCACAGAAGGAGGGTCACCCAAAAGCAATTAGTAGATCCCCATTCATAAAAAAAAAATGTACCTGAAACTGAATTGGAGAAAGCAGATTCCACTGGGGGTAGGGAGGAGATCCTAAACCATTAAATTAAGTTGTTACGGTGACCGACGTGTTCCTTTAAGAATTGATTTTGTTCTAAAATTTGCAGTTCCCTTGTAAATTCTCCAGAAATGTCTGTTTAGTGTATAAACCAGATAGTGTTTATTAACAAGGGTAAAATCTACATCAAGGCATGCTGTGAATTCAAAAGTCATGTGAAGGCCTTTTTGTCGCTACCCATGACCGCTGGCTGCTTTGCACAACCACATTCCTGGAGTCTATGGCCGCCTTTGGCTGTGACAGCTATTTAAATAACATGGTTGAGGGCAACCACATTCTTAAACCAGAATTAATGGTGACTCCACCTACTGAACCGCGTCATATTATTCTGGCATGGAAGCATTTCAGAGGAGCCTCGAAACACCCCAATAAATGAAGCCGAGGTGGATTGCGTCCTACAAAACAAAAGGAAAACAACTAAGAGGAGTTTAATAAAATAACAGTCTCGGCAGTGAAGTAAGTCAAGGTGATTTATAGTATAATGTAATGCTAAAACCATCTTTCCAGGACCTTGAGAAAAACTTTGCACTTCAGCTATGATGAGAACTAACTGCAATGTGTTCCTGTGAGCCAAAAATAATATAACATCACCAAGCAGACTTCAAAGAGCACTCGCTCCAACCCTCGCTCCTGTGCATCTGAGCTCTGCCAAAGCATACAATGTTGGGAGGGCGCAGCTCAGCAGCTGTTTGTAATGTTTGACAGACGCTGGAGGATTTGTGCAGCACTTCCAGATTCTTCCACTAGAAGCAGCAGAGAGACCTGCCCAAGCTCAGGGCAAGAATATATATATAATTTCCATATACTCCTTTTTACTCCAAGACCCAAATATAGATAATTTTAACTTTTTTCAGGTTTTTTTTTTTTTTACAATATACCTGTATCACCTTCGAAAATAAAAAATGGACACATGCACTATTAAGTGATACAAGAAAAATGAGCTCCCTGTTCTGCTTTTTGTTTGTTTGTTTTTATAGTAGCCACATATGTAACTGGAAAATACTCTTACTTTAACCCTTTGAAGCTGGGGACATTTTCTGTGTAATTTGCTATATTGAGCACTATGGATAAGATATAATAATCTATATTAAAAAAAAAAATCGTTTTTTTACGGATCTACAATTCAGTTCACGGCGCTGACACGTCACTGGGGCTTCGTGCGGTCCAATCACAGGCTTCTTATAGAGAAGCCAGCTCAGAGCACATGTGAGCACTTCAGGTCAGTGGGGGGGAGGGGAGGGAGAGGCAGAGGGGAGGTTGAAGGGGAAGGAGTGGGGAAGGTTTAAATAACCAAAAAACTGCCTGTAATGGAAGTAGGGAGCACTCACTGGGTGGAAGGAAAGGAGGGGAATGCGATTTTACGTCTGTTGCCAACATACAGTGCAAATTAATGACGGATGTAAATCATGCACAGAATTGACCAAATCTGGTTATTGAAAGAAGGAGAAGGTGCATGTTTGGATTTTCCTGATGAAAGCTTTTTAGCCACTTAAGGTCCATTTGAAGGTATATGCTTTAATGCCCAGTGATGGCATAGGGCCACAGTAAGTGGCTCCAGACTGACAGATGAGCTATGGGCAGCACTTAAAGTGAGTGATGCACATAGTCCTTTACATACTGAGATGGAGCAATCTCGCTAAGTCGTGGTATTTCTATCACTGCCCCAAGCCTGCTGCCTTAAACATGTCAGAGACCCCAAGGTATCAAAACAATTAGTGTCCCCCCAGCTTGGCACTGTTCACCAACTACTAGGAGTCTTCCTATATGCTACTTAGCCCAGTGATTGGTGCTGTGCTTTGCTAGCTGCCCAGCACAGATCTCTATATGCTGGAGCTGCAGAATGAGAGGGATTAAGGGTTGGATTAGGGGTTGGATTAAGGACAAAATTAGGGGTAGGTTTAGGAGAAAAGGTTGGGTATCATTTTACATGAGAACAGTAGCAGAATACAAATATAGGGTGTGTGCAGTAGTGGGGCACGTGCATTCTGTGAATGTACCCAAAATACATCTGTGGAAATAATGATGACCCCTTTATCTTAATGAAGTGTTCTGGGTGCAGTGGCACTGTCATTTTAGTCCTGCAATGTAAAACATTGGTATGAGAAAGTTGTTGGATTCAGCGCTTAGTGATCGGTAGGAATAAAGATGGTGAAATGATAAAAGGCCGCAACCTAAGAGTATGATGTTCCCTCACAAACCATCAAAGAAGTACAAATGTAAAAACAGAAAGTAATAGGTCGCGCCACACAAATAATATGGTATAATAATAAACAGTAAAAAACAATGAGTACTTACATAAAACGTATACGGGACAACAGAGTCCTGAGTAAAATAATATGGATAAAAAAGAAATAGTCCAAGTTGATTGAATGGATATGTGGTTACTGCCTATGGTTTGCAGTCTTACACTATTGGATTTTCCTCTCATATACATGCCTCTACGTCATCTGGACATTGGATTATCTCAGAACCCATAAGATTCAACATATTCATTCAATCAACTTGGACTATTTCTTTTTTATCCATATTATTTTACTCAGGACTCTGTTTTCCCTTATACGTTTTATGTAAGTACTCATTGTTTTCTACTGTTTGTTATTATACCATATTATTTGAATGTAAAACATTGACATTTTGTAGTTATGGCAATGGACTACAGAGTACTTCTGTGGGTACAACCACATTTGATTTAGTTTTGTAACGTTTTGTTTGCTCACCATTGCATGAGGATGTTCTATGTCATCAAATGCTATGATAAGCAATCGATGGAATGATGCATGCGCATGTGTTTCCTATCCCCTATGCTTCTCTATACAAAACATGGGACTGGAGGATAAGAGAAAGATTATCCAGCATGCACAGAGTAGGGTACATTTAAAACAGTGTACCTTCAAATATCTTTTTATATATTCAAACTTCGATTGTTGGGAGAATTTAAGTACCTTTGAACGAAAAGATAGAAATACCAACAATAGTGTGTAACTGTGTAGATACATATAATAAAGAATGTGAGACAATTGCACACTCACAATTTAAAGAGCTATATACACTTAGCTCTAGTGGAAATAGCTTTAGGGTCCGTGAAGGTGACCCTTCTTTTTATAAGAGGAGGTCCTAAATATAGACTCAAAAGAAAGGTAGATATGGGGTAGTACAGTCAGTATGCTTGAATCATCATAAAAAAAAGACAAGTGGGTACTCACAAAAGGTGGAGCCAGAATCAGGCTCTGTAGGCAGCGCAGTGTGTGGTCTAAAGGGCCACACTACCTTCTTTTCAAAGCAGGACCGTAGATGTCAGAATGTAGTAAAAATATAAGTAATTTATTAATTCTGGCATCAAATATTAAAACATATAAATAAAGAATATATATAAAAAACTGTTGCCTGGGATTCGTTTCGCCACAATTAGGGCTTCATCAGCTGGGCAATCCATGGTGAAAGTTCTAGCGTGCTCCATCCTGCTTATATACCCCCTTGCTAGGGGGATAAAAGTCCTCTGGTGTGGGTTTGTGCGCTTTCTCCCACTGCACTGGGAGTACGCTGCATTCCACACCTTCTATGTGGTGTGGAAGGTGTGGAACGGAGCGTACTCCTACTCCCACATAGAAGGTGTGGAACGCAGCGTTCTCCCAGTGCAGTGGGAGAAGGCGCGCAAACCCACACCAGAGGATCCACACCTAAAATCAGAAATTGTACTGTAAGTTTCTGAAATTCACGGTTTAGTCCATAACCTTAAAGTTTTTATATTTTTATGCTTGTGTGAGAGGAGACTTCCAAATAAGCAGTTTTTTCCCCTTAATGCTTGCTATATGACCTTTTTGCTTTTTTTTTTTTTTTTCTACATTTCTTATTTTAGAGTTTCTTCACAGTATTTTTCTCATATGTTTGATATATGGAATAAAATATAGAAAGAGACATATTTACTACAATGAGAACTGTCAATAATTCAAAGTAAATTCAAAGTGAAATTCAAATTTAAGGACAAAATAGCTGAGTTGGAAACATTCTGCAAGTCAGTTATGCTTCACGTCCTCTTTCCTTAATAAAATCCACTATTGTTTGGCTAGAAAACCCTTGATTAGAAATAAAACTGTACTGTGGCTTTGCTTGATGGATAAAGTTCTAAAGCAACATGGAACTTTCTTGACTCATTTTAAAGGAACATTCCTAAAGTTCTTTATGTGTCTGGAGACGTTTTCTTGACAGTTTCTAAAAATGCAGATCAACATTCAACACTGGAGTATAAATGGGGGCAGAAACACATGCCTCGTTGTCAATCAGACAGCCAGAGAGGTTCTCTTCTGTTAGCTTCTCTTCTGTTAGCCTGATTTCCACAGTCTCAATGAGCAAGCCAAATGCGAAAAGGCATCTGATTGGTACATTTCCTGGCACAGACAGAAAGTCTGTGCTGGGGTAAAAAAGTTGAAGCTTTGCAATGGCTGCAGAGTGCATGTCTGCAGCTTTTTTTCAAGCTGTTTTTCATGTACCCACAAAGAAAACATACAGAAAAAACGTCATACATGTTATCTTTGAGGGCACTAAATTGTAAAAAATGTTAAAAAGTCAATAGAGTGTGCCTTTAAGCAGGACAGGGTGGATAGCTGTTGCCAGACAAAGATTTTCTCTGTCTTTCTTTAGCACATACTTTAAAATTAGACATTGCATGGAAAAAGTTGCACTTTACAGAGAGGAGATACTTGTGACATCCTAATCCAACAGTTACTCATTTCTCACCACCATTTAATGAAACAATTCGAAGCAGAGAACAATGCACCTTTTCGGAAAGAGTGATTGCATCTAATTGCCTTGGATAAAATACATCCTTTTTTTCCAAATGGTTTTAGTTTTATGCTCTATTATTAAAAAAAAAAAAAAAAGCCAAAATAACAAAACATTATAATAAAACGTGTCAAAGCAGCCCACCTTATGTTTTCCGAACACGCAACAATTGCATAGTGTTTATTCAGGCTGAGTTCTTCACCTTAATGGAAGACATGTGGAGCTGATGATCCCGGGAGAGTTTGGTGACTCGGAAGCTTGGCAGGCATTTTATACCAGCTCCCACTTCAATTGTAATGACGGCTTGTTTAGGGATATTTATATGGCTGAAAAACAAAAGGTTTTGACATTTAATATGACATTAAATAGTATGATTCTCTTCACGACTTTCCTGCTAGAGAGGCCTATAAAGCAGAACAGGGCGTGGTATATTTTTTTCATGATTTATATAAAATAAAAGATTTTTTTTCATGTTGTCAGAGAATTAAGTATGCATTTCTGACCTTTGAACATCACAGGATAAGAGCATGACTCCAAAAGTGATCTATCAGTGAGTGTAAGTTTGCTACAGTTGAGTCATTTCTGTTGTCTCCTGTTTCTAAGTGTCATAGCCATCGCCACTACTGGCCAGACATCACACACCTGAGGAACAAGTCAGAAGAGTTGGGCAATGTCATCACCTCCTCTCTTATCATTTGAATTCACTGAGCTCGACATCGACACTCAGGACATGTCAACAACAGCATGCTGCTGTGTAGCACTGCTGCCAGGAAGTGGTTTGACCAGATCTCTTTCTTCGTACTAACATTCATAGATAGGAATAATGGTATACATTCTGCATTAACCACTTCAATAACAGATAATGTACAGGGACCGGGAGGTTTGCCCAACACCTTGTCCTAAAGGGGTGAAATTACAGTACATTTTCATTAAAAATAATGAAATACATTTACTATCAAATAATAAGTTAACTTTATGATCTTCTGATATGCAGTATTTCATTATATTATATCTTTGCTCACATCCAGTCTGTCTCAAAATTACGTAATATCAATCTTAAAAAAAAGTATTGTATTTGCCCCTATTTTACACAAGATCCAAGTAAGGCACTTGTCCATGCCCTTATCATTTCCCATCATAACTATTGTAACTTGCTCCCCATCTGCATTTTAAATATCTGATTTACCCCACTTCAATTACCAATGATTGATAACGAGAGATAATGAAAGCTGTTGAGAGAAGTCTAAGATTTGACTACTAAAGGAATAGAGAGTGTTGGTAAGATGGGAGAATGTGGTGACAGCTAGGGAGAGGTGGAGACAATATGGTTCTGGGATGTGCAAAGTGAGATGTATCGTGGGCCATAAATTTAGGTGGACCCTACACACCTACACTATAATTATTTGTGATCTGAAGCTTGCTGAGCATTATGGAAAATTGAATTCATAAACATTTCGACTTGTGAAATTTTCTACATATGGTTACTATGAATACCCGAAGGCCAAAGAACTCAAACGATTGCTCATTTTCAACGTTCCTATTTACATACAGCCAGTCTGTCTCAACCTATGAGTGGTCTGTTAAAAGTCACAAAGTCACATTCACTCATCAATCACGCCAAATAGCAAAACAGTGTAAGATAGTCTCATCATGTTCATATGTACTTATACACTTTAACAAATGCCTTAAAATATATATTTTTTACATACACTTAAAGTGGTTATACACTAACTCATGTGTGATTTTAGATTATGTTTGTAGTGAGAAGTGACTGGAAGGTAGAGTGTATCAGTGCCCCTAGGACCTGAGGCAAGCTGGTGCCTACTATCAGTTGCCAGTGTCGCCATATTATTAGGCAATTAGGCTGCTTAGCTAACATGGATCACTCCGTACTGGTTTTACAGCATGTTATCTATCTGGATAAGTGTTAGCATGAATGGAAAGGAGGTATTCAGTTGTATAAAAAAAGGGGTATATAAAATGTTTGGCTGTTAATTGCTGCTTACATCTCCAAAATGTTAAAGTCACTGTTGGATGTTCTTCTGGTTTAATTGACTGGAGCATGACAGATGCTGGTAGTTTTTTTTATTATTTTTTTTTTTGTGTGCAGTGCATTGAATTGGTACAAGCAGGCCTGAGGTGCCCCAAAGGCAGTCCTCCAGCTTTCTCTCGCTTAACATGCGGGACTAGTAATTATCAAGCACAGAATTTTTAAATATAAGCAGGCTTAGTTGGTATGTCAGTAGTTAGACAGTATCGTGTAAGAAAAACAATAATGTGATTCGACTATACATCAACATCTGGAACATGCATACTGACATATTGATGAAACAGTGATATGGAACCTTTACATATTGACATTTCAGTTACAAGCTTAAACTTTCCGGTGTATCACCGAGGTATGAAATTGAGTTACAGGAGTAGGAAAACATGCTGGCGTGTGTATGTATAAGTATGTTGGGAACATGACTATCTATGATGAGCGTTATTCCGTGGGCACTGTGTGGGTATGCATACTCGTTTGTAATGATGGAGCAGATAGGGATGTAGTGGAGTGCTGGTATAGGTGACAGCTCAGGTGTCATGGTGTTAGATTTGGTAGCCTTGTGTGGGTGAAGTATAACGACGTGGCATTTGGGTAGTCATGGATGTGGTACAGATGTAGCTTATAGTGTCATGTGATAGCGGGTGAGGCATGTGTGGGGGTGTGAAGTTTGCAGCCACCACATTGGTATATAATAAAGTTTGTGGTGAGTGTAGCATAGGTGCAGTCGTGACCTTGTAACACAAATTGGGGCTATACTTCCATTTTCTCGGTTCTCGCCCTGCTGTTCTTGAGGGGACTGCAGCTTTGTAGGTGAAACAGTCAACATGAGCACGAGTCCATGTAAGTGACCTAACAGTAGGACTTAGATGCGTTAGAAGGGGTATTGATGTGGCAAAAACATATACATAGTTCTGCGTGGAATATCTGGTTATGCAGGGGCCAGTGGCGTACACAAGATCCATGGGGCCCCAGTGCGAAAATTGATCCGTGGGCCCCCCACGCACTTACTCTGCGCGGGCTGGTACCGCTACACATGGCAGCGGGCACCTGGTTGCAGGGCTGCGACCCCTGCGACCGCGGTGTGCCGCCAGTGCATGCAGATACACTTAAAGGACCACTATAGGCACTCTGATCACTTCAGCTCAATGAAGTGGTCTGGGTGCCAGGTCCCTCTGCTATGTTTCACTGAGGGTTAATCCAGCCTCTAGTAGCTGTCTCACTGACAGCCGCTAGAGGCGCTTCCGCGATTCCGCTGGACGTCCATAGGAAAGCATTGAGTAATGTTTTCCTATGGGCGGTTTGAATGCGCGCATGCGCATTCGGAGCTGAGAGGCGGATTGGGGAGGACAGATCCCCAGTGCCAAGGGAGCCCAGTACTGGAAAAAGGTAAGTGCTGAAGGGGTTTTAACTACACACACACACTCTCACGAACAGACGCATACACACTAGCTAACAGACACACACATTTACTGACAGACACACATACACACTCACTTACAAAACATACACTCTCACTGACACACACTCACTAGCAGACACACACTAACACACACACAGTAACACACACACTCACTCAATGACAGACACACAAACACACTCAGTGACACACAGTAACACTCACTAACACACTTACTGACGCTCACTAGCAGACACACACACAGTAACACACTCACTGACACACACACAGTAACACACTCATTAACAGACACAGACACACACAGTAACACACACACACACTAACACACATACACACTTTTTAATTTTTTTTATTTAATCCCCCAGCCTCCATACCTTTGGGAGTGCTGTGGGGATTCCTGCTGTCCCTGGGGTCCAGTGGGGTCCTGCTGTCCC